ACAATCTGCACCTCGATAGCTATCGAAATAAGAAAGGCTATCACCATAGCTGCATTTTACATAGAAACCCGCACTACACGGAACGTGTTTTTGATATTTTATGGTTTTATGGTTAAATTTACGCTACTTTGTTTATAATTTTCTAATTGACATTCAAAATCTGCATAAACAACAAAAGGAGTATTTTGTTGGTAAGTTTTTAAATTCAACGCAGCTCTCTTTGGAAGGTTAATTTTATATTTATTAAATTTAGAACACAGTTTTTCATGTTCAACTAATTTATTTTGCTGATGGAAATAGTTCAGACTTCTATCGCAAATAACTTTTTTCCATTATGCTTATTTAACTGATTACTAATAAGACGCGAAAGATTTTTAATCCAACAATAGTGATATTTAATCTCATCGATTGAATCATTATCTTCATTCGCTGGTGGATCATTTAAACGCGGATAATATTTATTTTGAGCTAAAAGTAAATCAACATGCTTGTCCTGTTTACTTTCCGTTAATCTTGGCGGTACTACTGTTTAAAATGATTTTTTTTCTGTTTCAATCAATTCTAAAGCGTAAACATTGACTGAAATATTATTCATCTTTTCAAATTTTGAAATTTTTGTTAGCGGCATAGGACTATCTAAATTTTCTGTTTGTAAAACGTCAGTAAAGTATGGATATGAGGAGGTTAGTTCTGCATGTCTTTTATTTCTAGGAGCCCGAAGAGAGCTTACAATGGACCAGTAAAGCAATTTTGATCTCTATTTTTGATGTTTATACAAGCTTTTTTCATTATAATCGGTTCTGGTAGTCTAATATAAGATGAACCGTTTCCCAATTAATAGTTTCTGATATTAACAACTAAGGAAATATTTTATTTAATGCGAATCCCGATCTTTTTCAGCAAAATTCCGACAATTCGTTTAAAAGTTTATCTTTAACATATATCTTAAACCACTCGTCTATTTGAGTTGACGTATCAATAATATGATTTTTAGTATTAAAATATTTAATTCCCAAAATTTCATTATCCCCGATTTCCTAATAAACTCCCCGCAAAATGTTGTATTTACTTTGAGCGCACAATGGGTGTTCAAAATATTACTAATTTTCCTTTCGAAAACAACTACACAATCTGCTAAACATTGATTCAAGTCCAGACCTATTGAAATTTTGTGCCTCGAGATGAAAAAGGTTCTACGACAACATCCTGCTCGTACAATCACCGAACTGAGACAAAAGCTTCAAGAAATATGCGATTGTTTTACACAAAATTTTTGCCAAAACTTGGTTAACACTATGCCCCAACGAATTTCAGCCGTAATAAAAAATAAAGGTGATGGTAATGGTACCCAATGGTAATCTTTCAATTGTTGCTTTGTGAACTTCGCGCACTGTTTATTTGTTCAGATGTTCTATTGGTTATAGGTCTAAGTGATTTCAAATATGTATTTTTTACGACTAGAGTGTATCTAAAATGTTTTTGAGAAAATAAATTGTTTTAAAGTAAATAGTTTCGTCATGTTTAGTTTATAAGGGCATATTTTGGTACACATCTTGAAGTGGGCCAACTGAAGTGGGAAGGGGCTCGTACATGGTACAGTCAATACACGCTCTCTGATAAATGTCGGCTTACAAGATTCTCTAGGGGTAAGATTAAACAGTAGTCGGATAATTCGTTTCTGAGAGATGAACACACAGCGCAGATGTGGCAAGGCAGAATGGAAGGTGTGTATAACTATTATATGGCATTACATTATTTGCTGATCGACACATGACACGATTTGACAACAATATGTAATGGGCAATTAGACTCATATACAGGGTGTTTCAGTTTATTGTTGCATAACTTTAAGATTCAATAGAACTTTTAAAATGAATGCATAAAGTCTATATAAACATGGGTCGAAAAATGCGTGGCTTCCGAAATACAGGGTGTTTAAATTTACTTTCTAAAATAGTTTTTTTAAATATTTCGAACAATATTTGATGTATAACAGTGAAAATTGGTATACAAGGGTTTTTTTTATACGACAAAACGAACCATGGGCATAGTTTTACTGTAGCCGCTAGAGGGCGCTCTCTACTGTACCTGTAGTGTATTAAAATGACCGCACTTTTCAACATAAAAAAGCTCTTTTGTGAATTTTCGTTATAGTTAGCCGTTTTTGAGATATTTCGATTTTTAAGGTTCGATGCATTTTTAATTATTTATGATAAAATAACGTTAAAAAGTCAGTATCTCGATAATTTTTAGAAGTAGGCTGAGCCTGCAAATATTTTTGAAATTGAAAGCAGGTTAACATCAATTAGTTGACAGTTAGTTTTGTTGTCTGTTGAAACCTGAAACGTTTTTTTGCAATTGTGAATGCACGAAATTTAGTTTCTTTTACCTGTTTTTTTTTGTAAGTTTTATAAAAATGCCATTTTTATTCTCCAATCAAGAGTTAGCGGATATTCATTTTGTGTATGGCTTTGTAAATGGAAACGCAGCAGAAGCAGCCAGAGAATTCGCACGAAGATTTCCAAACAGACGACATCCAACTCGCTCAGTATTTGTAGGAGTGCATCGCCCAAATAATTGAAAATAGTTTTGGAAATCTCCAAAGGGATCAAAACATAAATGTTCGTCAGCCAGATTTACCCGTATGATTCTGCGTGAGTTTGATAGAGATCTGACCACAAGTGTTAGGAGAGTTTCTGGTGCCTTAGCCAAGCCATGTTCACCGTGTTCTTAGAAATAACCATAGACGTCCTTACCATTTGCAACCTGTGCAAGGACTACAGCCAGGGGACGGAGAACGAAGAATCACATTTTGTCAGTGGATTCTTGATAGAACTGATAATAATAGGGAGTTTTTAAGTAACGTTTTATGGACCGATGAGTCATGCTTCACTAGACGTGGAGTGGTAAATTTTCATAATCAACATATTTGGTCGCATGAAAATCCGCATGCAGTTCGGGAAAGAAATTTTCAGCATGAATTTAGTGTGAACGTGTGGATTGGTATCTACCGTAATCGACTATTTGGACCCTACCTTTTGCCTGCAAGGTTAAATGCTGCGACCTTCTTGGAATTTTTGAAGGCTGAACATGCAAATATGTGGGATGATGTTAGGTTAAATTTGAGAAGATTGGCCTGGTTCCAGCTTGATGGTTGTCCAGCTCATTATTAGAGAATAGTTAGAAACTGGCTGGACGAAAATTATCCAGAAAGATAGATCGGCCGTGGAGGACCAGTCGCCTGGCCTCCACGATCCTCTGACCTAAATCCATTAGATTTCTTTGTGTGGGGATTTCTAAAAGAAAAAGTGTACCAGACTCCCGTAACCACAAGAGATATGCTAATAGACAGAATCAGGAATGCATGTGATGAAATAAGCCCTTATTTGAATAATGCTATACCACGTTCGATCATTCGTAGATGTGAATATTGTATTGAACAATTGGGTTTACATTTCGAGCAACTACTTTAGATTTTGTATGTTTGTCCTAACTATACAATCGCATTTTAGTTGTAAATAATTAATTTAATTTGTTAAAAATAATATTGGAAAATTAAACAAATTAATATTCTGTATTTTCGTGTTTATTGGAGTTAGGAATTATTGCTGTGTTTAAAAACACAACCTAAACGATCATCTTAATTACTTGTAATGCCCAAATCGAAAATGTAAAAAAATATGATTTTCCCATAAGTAATTAAAAATGCATCGAACCTTAAAAATCGAATAACTCAAAAACGGCTAACTATAACGAAAACTCACAGGAGAGCTTTTTTATGTTAAAAAGTGCGAAGAATCAGTTTTTTTATTCAAAAAGTAAAAAATTGCACTAAGAAAATTTTTTGGTCCTTTTAATACACTACAGGTAGACAGTAGAGAGCGCCCTCTAGCGGCTACAGTAAAACTATGCCCATGGTTCGTTTTGTCGTACAAAAAAACCCTTGTATTCCAATTTTCACTGTTATACATTAAATATTGTTCGAAATATTTAAAAAAACTATTTTAGGAAGCCACGCATTTTTCGACCCATGTTTATATAGACTTTATGCATTAATTTTAAAAGTTCTATCGAATCTTAAAGTTATGCAACAATAAACTGAAAGCACCCTGTATAATTTCATAGAATAAATGAATATTTCTTACAGTATGTGCCTTGGGAAAACGAAATATATCGATTTCAAATTTTTAATAGAGCAAGATGGATATAGAAGTCCAATTAAAAAAATAGGTTTTTGAAAAGACACAACGGCTCCAAATTAGCATAGAGCGGTTGCAAGACCTAGATCGGAAAACGGCTGAAGAAAAAAGAAACATTTTGTTATTTTTAGACAATGCGGGATATCATCCAAAATACATTCGCTTAAATCTTAAATAAAATAAAAATCTTATTATTGTCCCCTAATCATACATCAGTTTTGTCAACCACTTGACCAAGGGGTTATAAAGTTTTAAAATTTATTAGGGAAGTCTAATACTCAAACACCTGTTAGTGAACATTGAATCTGCTGGTACAGTTTTTGAGTTAATAAAGAAAATTACGTCACTGGATGCAGTTTATTTGCAAAAAAACCGCTTGGGACCAAGTAACCAAAGAAACTGTAAAATTGCTTCCGCAAAGCAGGATTTAGGCATGCAAAATGAAGGCCAGTTAAATGAGGCTGATACACCTGACCCAGAAGATGACTTACCACTTAATGTACTTTCAGATATCCTCAAAAATAAGAATTTATTGAATAATGAAAACCGTTATGATTTTTTGAACTAGATGAACGTTTATATGTTGGAGATACAGATTTAGCCGAAGAAATTTAAACTCCAGCTAAATTAGAATAACTTTTCATTAAAAACACGATTTTTGTTGCATTTATTTTATACTGACACTCCAGCTGATTTCACAGTAGATGGTAAAAATTTACCACCGTAGTATATCCAGGCTTAAATTGGATTCTAGAGGAAGACATTAAAATGACCGCTAAAGTTACGGAACAATGCTCTCACCTGCGATTGAGGTTGATACCGTAATTGGCAAGATTATTCAGTGAGGCGAGGCTAAGCAGTTGTGGTTCGACATGCCTCTTCGTTGTAGGAATCGGCTGTCTGTCGTCGAATTCCGCTCCCTCTGGTCCTACTAGTTTGCCTTGTTTTATCTCCTCTTCGATTATCTTCAATTCCGCTAACTGCTTCTGCTTTTTCTCTTGTAGCTTTTGATGGATGTTCACTCTGCATAGGATCAAAATATATTAAAAAGACAGTCCAAACGGGGTGTTAGGAGTAAATCTCAATAATATGATATATATATATATTATATATACAGGGTGTCCCAGAAGTCGGCGTCAAGCCGAAACCGGGTGATAGTCAAAGTCATAAAAGCTATCAGAAAAATATTCAAAAAATTTTTATGTATGTGTTTTGAAAATTATAGGTCTTTGAAAAAAATATAGAAATTTCACACCCTACGGCAGTCTGTCAATTCCTGTTACTACAAATATTAACTTTTTTTGGATTTTATTTTTACAATGTAATGATGAATAATGCATCTTCAAACTGGTGTCTCAACCTTACTGCCAACTTTTCTCGTTCAGGAAAAATTGCCACTTATTTCCCAACCAAGTATTCCAAAGTAAAACTTTGCTCAACTTTAACTGGCTGTACTGGAAAAAATGTACTACCAGAGTTTGGCAAGTAACCTTAAAAGTTGGCGCATTTAATAAGGATTCCAAAATGGTATAACACTTAGAAGATTACTCGTTAACTTATGCACAATTTTTATTTGAAGAAAAACTGATGGAAATTTTTCAAAATTTTCTAATTAAACAGCGATTAGGAAAACGCACAAGGACCCTTAAGGATAACTGTTTGCACAACAGTGGGCGTCAAAATGCTGCTGATGATGATTTACCTTTACAGCAAATGCTCAAACTGTTTTCCTTCAGTCGCAATACACGCTCGACATCTTCTTAAATAAAAAAGATCGGGTTATTAAACGAGCGAATCCACGGTTATTAATAAACTCAGCTGCTTCCAATAGTCTTTGCCGTAGCTCAGCTACATTTTGAATCGGCTTGAAATACACTTTTTCTTTTACAGTTCCCCAGTGAAAAAAATCTAACGGATTCAAATCTGGTGACCGGGCTGGCCACGGTATTGTAGACCGCCCTATCCATCCAAACAGTTTGAGCATTTGCTGTAAAGGTAAATCATCATCAGCAGTATTTTGACGCCCACTGTTGTGCAAACAGTTATCCTTAAGGGTCCTTGTGCGTTTTCATTATCGCTGTTTAATTAGGAAATTTTGAAAAATTTTCATCAGTTTTTTTTCCAAATAAAAATTGTGCATAAGTTAACGAGTAATCTTCTAAGTGTTATACCATTTTGGAATCCTTATTAAATGTGCCAACTTTTAAGGTTACTTGCCAAACTCTCGTAGTACATTTTTTTCCAGTACAGCCAGTTAAAGTTGAGCAAAGTTTTACTTTGGAATACTTGGTTGGGAAATAAGTGGCAATTTTTCCTGAACGAGAAAAGTTGGCAGTAAGGTTGAGACACCAGATTGAAGATGCATTATTCATCATTACATTGTAAAAATAAAATCCAAAAAAAGTTAATATTTGTAGTAACAGGAGTTGACAGACTGCCGTAGGGTGTGAAATTTCAATATCTTTTCAAAGACCTATAATTTTCAAAACACATACATACAATTTTTTTAAATATTTTTCTGATAGCTGTTATGACTTTGCCTATCACCTGGTTTCGGCTTGACGTCGACTTCTGGGACACCTTGTATATATATATATATATATATATATATAAAGAGAAAGTGATCATGCGGAGAAAGGTATATAAAAAAATATAGGAAAATAATTATTTTCCTATTTTTTTTTTGTTATATATATATATATATATAAATATATTAGTATAAAATGTGTTCAAAACTTTTTAGTTTTACAATGAGTATGTGGGATTAAAATGGAAAGCGCCTTTTACTTGAAGCATCATCAGGATATATCCCTTGCATTTTATTGTGATTTTTTTACAATAGGCTTCTTGACTCATATTTAATTTCATAGAATAAGTGAGTATTTCTTACAGTATTTGGCATAGGGAAACGAATTACTTCAATTACAAATTTTAAAAGCGCAACGTGGATGTATTGTCCAAATTAAAAAATATACTTTTTATTTTTAATATGAAACGATAGAAACACTATCGGCCATGATGTGACGTCATACAAATTGTAAACAAAGAAACGTCATCCGTACGACACTCGTGGACTAACGTTATCCTCTTTAAATATTTCTAAAAAAACTCCTTATCAACGTAAAAAATATCGCTTTCTCGTTTTATGGAAAAAAAAACAATCATGGGCGTTGGATTAGTAAAAGCAGAAAGCACAAATTTGGTGAAAATCGACACATTGATGGTTGGTAATTTGTTTGTCTTCACAACCAGATTTCTGCTCTACTGAGCTGAGGAACATCAAGACATCTATACAGGGTGGCGCATCGAAAATGAAACAGGCAGCTTCAGTTTTTTTTTTTGAAAAACGCTCAGACCCGTCGATTTTGTTTTCGAGGGGGAAACAAGTTTGACAAAAAATCACGTTAGCACGTGCAGCCCCCTAAGCGGGGGTGACACCACCCCCAAAATCTTAAATGTAAAGGGGGGGTCGAGTGATACCTTATTTTAAAGGTCTTTCAATTCCCTTTATAATGATATAAAAGTAATGTACTTCAGTTCAGTAGTTTTGACGATTTATTGATTTAAAGCTTAAATAAAACTAATACATCATCATTAGTGGAGATCAATACATTTGGCAGCAAAGTAATTTAAAAATGAAGAATGAACTGACCCGTTAGGCAAGTAAATGTTGAAAATGGCCACCATGACTCTCTATGCAATAATAAACATTTTGCTCAAAACGTTTCCGCACATTTTGCAATATTTGAGGAGTAATTTGAAGGCACTCATTCACAATTCTTTGTCGCAGATATTCTAATGATGTTGGCTGAGTAGCATAGATTTTGCTTTTTAAATGACCCCACATAAAGAAATTCAAAGGTGATAAATATGGCGATCTTGTGGGCCATTCAACCATTCTACCAATCCATCGATCTGGAAACGTCTGATCTAAATATTGTCGAACACGTAATGCTTAATGTGGTGGGGCACCATCCTGTTGGAACATCAACCTATTCGCAATGTACCGCCGATCATTCTGATTTTCAATTATGGCTGTTAATGCAGGATCTATGGCGTCTTCCAGTAATTCCAAATACAGGACCAACTAAATGATCGCCAAAAATTCCAGCACAAACATTTAATTTTTGTGGCTGCTGTGTATGAACCTCATGATAAATTCTGGGATTAGAATCGGACCAATATCGGCTGTTATGACGATTTACTACGCCATTTAAGAAAAAGGAACATTCGTCGGAAAAGCAAGTGTTGAACAGAAAATGTTCATCGTTTATAATTCGTTCACTCATATCTTCACAAAATTGTAATCGCCGATCAAAGTCGTCTTCATTAAGTTCATGTAATAGGTGAATTTTATACGGATGAAAACTATGGGCCTTTAGAATCCCTTGGACAGTACGTCGACTAACACCACACACAGTCTCCAATTTGTGGGTACTTAACGTAGGATCTACATAAACTTGCCCTAAAACCCCCACTTCTATTGTTTATGGGATTTTCAATTTTGCGTTTTTTATTGTCGACTGACCCAGTTTCCCGAAATTTAGCTACAAGTTCTAGAACATATTTTAGATGCACGTTACTGTTCTCATGTTGCTCATTAAATATTTCTGCTGTTCTATTAGCGCACTGATTATTTCCGAATTTTTTTTTCGATAATTAAAACTCTTTCTGCTATGGAATACTATGGTTAATTTATGTAATAAAGCGTTACAAGTTATTTTAGCAACAAAGTTTGGTCAAATCAATCGCAAACTATGCACTAAATTCCTATTTAAAATAAGTACGAGTTATTTCCTTATCTTTCTTCAAGAAATAACTTTTTTGCCACAAAAAAACGCTCCAATAGCTATTTTCAACAACAAAATGATAAACCATGGGCGTAGTGAAGAAAAGCATTAACTTATTAAGTAAATACTTTTAGTCAAATTTCTTCTGAAAGTAGTACAAACTAATCTGTTGTACCTATTAAAGTCTACTTTAAGCTTTAAGTCAATAAATCTTCAAAACTACTGAACTGAAGCTAATGTATTTTACATCATTATACAGGGAATTGAAAGACCTTTAAAATAAGGTATCAATCGACCCCCCTTTCCATTTAAGATTTTGGGGGTCGTGTCACCCCCGCTTAGGGGGTTGCACGTGCTAAACTGATTTTTTGCCAAAGTTGTGTCCCCCTCGAAAACAAAATCGACCGGTTTGAGCGTTTTTCAAAAAAAACTGAGCTGCCAATAAATGCGTCTGTTTCGTTTTCGATGCGCCACCCTGTATAATTACAACGCATCTGATAGAATGACAGATAAATAAGTAATACTCTTACATTATATTTCTTTTCAGAAGTCATTCGAACATGAGCTCAGGAGTCATCTCTAATATTGTATTTCTTTTTACACATCTGCAAGGGAATCGTCCGGTAATGACGGAGGTAATTAAGTTTTTTCTTTTTCTGTTCCTTCTTTTTCATCTATTGCAATTTTGTTTGTTTGTTTAAGATTTATTTAGCATGATTGCTACAATTACATTCTTCTAAAAAACTTCACAATTCAAAATACAATTCATCCATGCATAAACATTGTCCTTCTATGGATAAATTATATTTATTTTCTCATTTTATGTTACATGTATTTATAGAGTAAATAAATAATACCACTACTATTACTACTACTTCAAATACTGACAAGGTATTTGAATTACTTGGAAAAAATTAAGTGTTCAGCTAAAGTATGTGATACTAGAAATGCTTCTTTAAGGAAAAGTAGGTACAGGGTTCCGCACAAAGGACGGATGTTTTTGAAATGACTAGTACTCTCCGCCTATTCAGGCGAGAGTGGTGGGGAGAGTGCGTTCGACTCGGGCGTTCCTAGCATTTTTACCAGAAGACATTATGGAGCAGTGAAAGGTTAAGCACCGCGTTTTCGCGTACGACAGTTTTGTCCGACAATGAGTCTATCACGGCTGTACATCGTCGCTACTTCAATATTCATCGGAATCGAGCTGTTCCTTCGTTGGGTTCAATCACTTCG